ATTACACATTTGAGAGCTGTAGGTTGCTTGTGCTATGAAACAAATTTAGTCAAGACAGACAAGTTTGCATAGAGGGCCAAAGCAGCCATTCTCATGGGCTATTCTGAGACACAAAAGGGTTATATTCTGCTTGATTTAACCACAAAGCAGTTTTTTACAAGTAGAGATGTCATATTCAAAGAATCAAAGTTTTCATTTTCTAAGAAAGATGGAAACAGATCATATGATGTACATGAGTACATGGAGCAAAGCACACTGCAATTCTCACCTCTACACACACAGCTAGGTGGCAACATATATGGTGGAAATGTATCAACCTCAACAACAGAAGATATGAGTCTACAAGACAATAGACAGAGTGGTCTGCAAGAGAATCTACTAGTTCTGCAGGAGATAAATACTGATGATATTCAGGAAACTTTACAGAATGTGCATAATTTTGATATTGTTCATGCAGATACCCAAAGTGATGAACATCAAGGAGGTGTATAGATCTCAGTCAGTAGGCATGAAGATGAAGATGGGGAGATTTAAAGACCAGGTAGAAAGTCTACAAGACACGTTAAAGAACCAATATGGATGAAGGATTATGTCACAACAAAGAATACAACTAGCTGCAACTATCATATTTTAAACTACCTGACCTATGATCATACCAGTACAAGTTACCAATGCTACTTGGCTAAGTTCTCTCAACTAACAGAACCACAGACATTCAAAGAAGCAGTGAAGGACAACCGATGGATGGAAGCTATGAAACAATAAGTTAAGGCATTAGAATATAACAAAATATGGGAAATAGTGAACTTGCTAGAAGGCAAGAACACTGTAGGATTCAAATGGGTGTACTAGATCAAGTTCATGGCAAATGGAGAAGTGGAATGATTTAAGGCAAGGTTAGTAGCAAAAGGATACAGCCAAAGGAAATGTTTGGACTATCATGACACATTCTCACCAGTGGCAAAGATGGTCACAGTGATATCTATCATTTCACTAGCAGCATCATAAGGTTGGAATCTATTTCAGATGGATGTCTATAATGCATTCTTACAAGGAGACCTAAATGAAGAAGTGTACATGGAGTTGCCTGAGGGAGTAAGAAGTCAAGGAGAGAATAATGTGTGCAAATTGCTCAAGTCCTTATATGGACTTAAGCAGGCCTCTCGACAGTGGAATATCAAGCTGACTGAGGCTCTACTTAGAGCAGGGTTCCAACAGAGCCATCACGACTACTCACTCTTTACATTGAGAAGTCAAGAGGGGATAGTGATCATTTTAGTGTATGTAGATGATCTCCTCATTACAGGAAGTAGCTCAACACTGGTGAAGAAAGCTAAGGATATATTACATCAGAATTTTAAGGTGAAGGATCTGGGAGAACTTAAATACTACTTAGGTATTGAGGTTTTGAGGTCTAAAGGTGGAGTATTGCTGAATCAAAGGAAATACATACTGGAATTAATCTCATAAATGGGGCTGAGTGGAGCTAAACCTGCAAGCACACCATTGGAAGTGAATTCCACGTTGACAACAATAGAGTATGATCAAGAAAATGGAGTCACATAGGATCCACCTTTGCAGAATGTTAGTGCCTATCAAAGGTTAGTAGGAAGGCTTTTATATGTTACTATTACTAGGCCAGACATCAATTATGCAGTGCAGGCAGTGAGTTAGTTTATGCAAGCACCAAAAAGGTCCCATCGGGATGCTGCCTTAAGGGTTGTAAGATACTTGAAAATTGTCCTTGGACAAGGGATCTTGATGAGGTCTGACTATGCAGAGACTCTCACCTGATGGTGTGACTCTGACTAGGCTGCATGTCTGAATACAAGAAGATTAGTTACTGGATATGTCATCAAGTTTGGAGATTCATTGATCTCTTGGAAGTCAAAGAAGCAACAGACTGTCTCTAGGAGTTCAGTTGAGGCAGAGTACAGGAGTATGGCAGGAAGCATTGATGAGGTAACATGGTTACTTGGTCTATTCAAGGAGTTGGGTGTAAGAATAATACAACCAGTCACAATTCTCAGTGATAGTAAATCAGCAATCCAACTTGCATCAAATCCTGTGCTTCACGAAAGAACCAAACACATAGAGATTGACTGTCATTTTATTCGAGAAAAGATCAAGGAAGGAACAGTCAAGGCAGTGTATGTCAATACCAAGGAGAAACAAGTAGATCTGCTGACTAAAGCTTTAGGGATAGCTCAACATGTTCATCTGCTTGGCAAGCTTGGAGTGTTCAACGTTTTACACCCTCCAACTTGAGGGGGCATATTGTAATGTCACGAGCATCACATGTGACTTGTTAGTTAGGCTGTTAGTTACACAACTTATGGTAGTTATTGCTTTTAATATAAGTTAGGGGTAGATTAGTCCTTTTACTTTTTTACTAATCATCTTCTTCTTAGCTTCTTGTATATAATGATACAGTAGTGCTCAATGTAACTGTGTCTTGAACATTTCTCAATTCACTGACTCTCTCTCACACAATAGCTTCTAGAACTTTCCTCCATTAGAGCCCTTCTATAATCACTGTGTTTTAGCACCTATTGCCATAGAGAAGCTGTCTGCTTACTTGGTTGCCCTGAGTGGAAGAAACGCCATGCAGCTCTCATTGTACTCGCTTAGATAACTGAAGGTAGCTCAAAGGTACAAATCTGATGTCTCATTTGTGTATTTATTATGATTATGTTGCAATGATTATGAGCTAGAAACTTTGGTACCATTATTAGATAGAATACTCAACAAACTGCTTGTAATTCTACAAGTATATAAAAATAGAGGCCACCATGTTATAAAGGCAGATTACTGCTAACTAGTCTACGAGATTCATGGTGTTTTTTCCTACTTATTGTTGTTGTTTGAAATGCAGAATCACGACAATCAAATGGAGCTTAGTTCACTGGGCTTCCCTTTTATTGTAGTTCAACATTTGCATCAGATTTTCTTTTATGCTGATGTAGCCATAAAGTAATTGAAAGTTAGTTCTTTTATGTAAGGTTTTATGTGCTGGAGAGAATCTTGCTACAAATAAAACTACAAAATGCAGCATGCTCATTGTTATTACCTCAGCATGAGATGGAATTGGAATCCATTTTATCACCCCGAGTAAGATGTTAACATTTTGGCACACGCAATGTAACTACTAGTCTTGTGAACTTGTGGAAATCAATTCATTTTGGTGCTCAGTCCACTCCTCTGATTAAACAGTGTTCATTGTGGAGTGAGATTTTATGTTGGCAGGCTTAGGTGTGGAGAAACATAAAACATGCAAGCTATGGCGGAGACATGTTACTATGTATAAAATGTGTACAACAACACTCTCTTGGTAGACTCTTGTTGCATTATGAAACTCAGAGAGCAGGTAATTATAGCTTGTGAGAGTTTGTTGCTCAAATATAGCACTGGAAAGTTGCTTCTTGCGAGACGTTTGGTCTAGCTAGTCAGCTTATTCAATGAACTATTGTGGTGATATACGGTATTGTAGTTGATTTTGTGAAAATTCATGTGTGATATATTTCCTGCCACCCTCTGTCGGGGGATTTGCAGTCGTACCCTATATTTGTGCCACCTTTTAAACTGTACCATATTTTTAAAAATTATTGATTTGGTAGCCATCTCACAAAAAATCCATAATAATATGACAATTACACCCGTGACAAAAGATACAAAACGATCTCCTCCTCTCCTCTCAGCAACTTTATAAAATAAATCATAAACTTGTCTAGATTCATCTTCAGAATCACACTTGCATGAAATTATTTCACCTTGAAGCTAAAACTTCATGTTAATGTAGCATGAAGTTGTTTCATGTTGAAGCTAAAACTTCATGTTAGTATAGCATGAAGTTGTTTCACATTGAAGCTAAAGCTTCATGCTAATGCATGCTGAAGTTATTTATCCTGCAGTCTACAGTTTTGCCATGAATTGTATCCGAAACTTCAGTCTAAACATGTTTAAGTTATTTAGTTCATTTGCTAAAACTTCAGACTAAACATGCTTAAGTTATTTAGTTCATTTGCAAAAATTTCAGACTAAACATGCTTAAGTTACTTAGTTCATTTGCTAAAAATTCAGACTAAATATGGTTAAGTTATTTAGTTCATTTGCTAAAATTTCACACTAAACATGCTTAAATTTTTAAGTTCATTTGCTAAAATTTCGGACTAAACATGCTTAAGTTTTTGTCTTGTAATATGTAATTTTCTAACGAATTTTTGCTAATGCATGTTGAAGTTATTTAGTTCATTTGCTAAAACTTTGGATAAAATATGCTGAAGTTATTTAGTTCATTTGCTAAAACATCCTACTCAACATGCTAAAGCTTTTTAATTCATTTGCTAAAAGTTTAGACTAAACATGCTAAAGTTTTTAAGTTCATTTGCTAAAATTTCAGACTAAACATGTTTAAGTTTTTTGTCTTGCAGTATGTAATTTTTTTAAGAGTTTTTGTTAATGCATGCAGAAGTTATTTAGTTCATTTGCTAAAACTTCATACCAAAACATGCTGAACTTTTGTAATGCAGTCTACAGTTTTATCCTGAGTTTTATATGTTTTGGTTCTATTTCCTAATTGCTGTGCGAAATCGAAAGAGCATGCAGAAAATTTGCATCAACAAAGAGTTATGCAACTTCTATCTGGCTTGAATGAGTCATATGATCAATCTAGAAGACAAATACTTATGAAAACAAATGCACCTAGTCTAAACCAAACTTATGCCATGATTATTCAAGATGAGAGTCAACAAAAAATAGGAGTGAATGATGTAATGTCTGATAAGATAAAGCCATTAGCTATGCAAGCAGGACGAGGAAGAGGAAGGAGACAATACCTACAGTGTGAGTTTTGTCATCTTAAAGGACATACTAAGGAAAATTGTTATAAGATTGTTAGTTATCCTACTGATTTTGTCCCTAGAAGGAGATATGGTGAAAGAGTAAGGACTCAAGGTGATTAGCAACAGAATCCTGGCACTAGAAATCAAAATGTTTGGAAGATGACAAATAATGGTAAATCTGGATGGAACAATCCTAATACCGGTAAGAAAGGTGGCAATGGTGGCAATGTTGGTAAACCAGGTGGCCGAAAAATAGAACCTATGGCTATGATTAACAATGCAGATGTAAGTACATCTTCTATGCAGGATATGGGTGATGGTCCCTCTGGAGTTGCTGAGCACAAGGGATATCACTACTTTACAAATGACCAATACAATCAAATTCTGTATCTCTGGAACAAGGAATCAAATCCCGAGTCAAACATGGCAAACATGGCAGGTGCNTTGGGTCATTACATCACTACTTCACAAATGTCCAATACAATCAAATTCTGTATCTCTGGAACAAGGAATCAAATCCTGAGTCAAACATGGCAAACATGGAAGGTGCAGGAGCAGGTGAGGTTAATTGTCTGATGAGCAACTTTACACAAAAATCACAGGAGAAGGAATGGGTTGTAGATTCAGGTGCTACCCATCATATCACTTCTGATTTAGAATTATTATCAGATGTTAAATATACAATGAAAACTGATAAGGATAGAGTGCATCTTCTAACTGGAGAGCAAGCTGATATTACTCACATTGGTAGTGCAACCCTATTAGACAAGAAAGAGATCAAGGATGTGCTTTATGTTCCTAATTTCAAGTTTAACTTGCTCTTAGTAGCAAAGTTAACAAAGGAACTGAAATATAATACCAATTTCTTTCCTGATTTCTGTGTGTTTCAGGATCTTTGGAATGGCAAGGTGAAAGGGATTGGTAAAGAAAGAGGAGGATTATATGTGCTTAGAGGACTGGCTAGCAGAATAAAGGCATTCAATGTTGTGAACAGGGCAAGCAGAGATTCAAGTGAAGTATGGAACAACATGCTAGGTCACCCATCTGCATTAGTAATGAAGCATGTAGTAGGTTTAAATAATAAAAACAGTGAAATGTCGCATGAAAATTGTTTGATATGTCCACTAGCAAAGCAGACTACATTAAAGTTTCCATTGTTCAATTCTAGAACAAAAGTAGCATTTCATCTTGTACAAATAGACCTATGGGGACCCTATAAGATTGCTACATTTGATAAGGAATAATATTTCTTAACAATTGTGGATGATTACTCTAGATATACATAGGTGTTCGTTTTGTAGTTAAAATTTGAAGCAGTAGTGGAAATAAAGCAGTTCATTGACATGGTTCAAAACCAGTTTGGTATTGTTTTTAAAGTGATAAGATCAGATAATGGATCTAAATTCTTTAATGCGCAATGTTCTGAGCTATTAATAGGTCTTGGTATAATTCACCAAAGCAGCTGCCCTTACACTCCACAGTAGAATGGCATAGTGGAAAGAAGGCACAGGTATATACTTGACACTACAAGGGCTTTGATGTTTTAAGGAGCAATTCCAATCAGATACTGGGAGATGTGTATTAAGACAGCAGTATACTTGATTAATAGGTTACATCAAGTGTTCAAGGGGAAAAACTCCATATGAGTTGTTGCACCACAAGAATGCTAATATTACACATTTGAGAACTATAGGTTGCCTGTGCTATGCAACAAATTTAGTCAAGACAGACAAGTTTGCAGAGAGGGCCAAAGAAGCCATTCTCATAGGCTATTCTGAGACACAAAAGGGTTATATTCTGCTTGATTTAACTAGAAAGCAGTTTTTTACAAGTAAAGATATCATATTCAAAGAATCAAAGTTTCCATTTTCTAAGAAAGATGGAAACAGATCATATGATGCACATGAGTACATGGAGCAAGGAACACTGCAATTCTCACCTCTACACACATAGCCAGGTGGAAACATATATGATGGAAATGTTTCAACCTCAACAACAGAAGATATGAGTCTACAAGATAATAAACAGAGTGATCTGCAAGAGAATCTACTAGTTCTGCAGGAGATAAATACTGATGATATGCAGGAAACTTTACAGAATGTGCATAATTTGGATATTGTTCATGCAGATACATAAAGTGATGAACATCAATGAGGTGTAGATATCTCAGTCAGCAGGCATGAAGATGAAGATGAAGATGAGGAGATTTCAAGACCAGATAGAAAGTCTACAATACAAGTTAAGGAACCAATATGGAGGAAGGATTATGTCACAACAAAGAAGACAACTAGCTGCAACTATCATATTTCAAACTACCTGACCTATGATCATACTAGTACAAGTTATTAATGCTACTTGGCTAAGTTCTCTCAACTAACAGAACCATAGACATTTAAAGAAGCAGTGAAGGACAGCATGTAGATAGAAGTTATGAAACGAGAAATTAAGGCATTAGAAGATAACAAAACATGGGAAATAGTGAACTTACCAGAAGGAAAGAACATTGTTGGATCCAAATGGGTGTACAAGATCAAGTTCAAGGAAAATGGAGAAGTGAAAAGATTTAAGGCAAGGTTAGTAGGAAAAGGATACAGCCAAAGGGAAGGTTTGGACTATCATGACACATTATCACCAGTGGCAAAGATGGTCACAATGATATTTGTCATTTCACTAGCAGCATCAAAAGGTAAGAATCTATTTCAGATGGATATCTATAATGCATTCTTATAAGGAGACTTAAATGAAGAAGTGTACATGGCGTTTCCTGAGGGATTCAGAAGGCAAGGAGAGAAGAAGGTGTGCAAATTACTCAAGTCCTTATATGGACTTAAGCAGGCCTCTCGACAGTGGAATATCAAGATGACTGAGGCTCTACTTAAAGCAGGGTTCTAATAGAGCCATCACGACTACTCACTCTTTACATTGAGAAGTAAAGAGGAGATAGTGATCATTTTAGTGTATGTAGATGATCTCCTCATTACAGGAAGTAGCTCAACACTGGTGAAGAAAGCTAAGGATATATTACATCAGAATTTTAAGGTGAAGGATCTTGGAGAACTTAAATACTCTTTAGGTATTGAGGTTCTAAGGTATAAAAGTGGAGTATTGCTGAATCAAAGGAAATACATACTGGAATTAATCTCAGAAATGGGGATGAGTGGAGCTAAACCTGCAACCACACCATTGGAAGTGAATTCCAAGTTGACAACAATAGAGTATGATCAAGCAAATGGAGTCACAGGGGATCCACCTTTGCAGAATGTTAATGCCTATCAAAGGTTAGTAGGAAGGCTTTTATATGTTACTATTACTAGGCCAGACATCAATTATGCAGTACAGGCAGTGAGTTAGTTTATGCAAGCACCAAAAAGGTCCCACCGGGATGCTGCCTTAAGGGTTGTAAGATACTTGAAAATTACCCTTGGACAAGGGATCTTGATGAGATCTGACTGTGCAGATACTCTCACCTGTTGGTGTGACTCTGACTGGACAGCATGTCTAAATACTTGAAGATCAGTTACTGGATATGTCATCAAGTTTGGAGATTCATTGATCTCTTGGAAGTCAAAGAAGCAACAGACTGTCTCTAGGAGTTCAGCTGAGGCAGAGTACAGGAGTATGGCAGTTAGCATTGCTGAGGTAAAATGGTTACTTGGTCTATTCAAGGAGTTTGGAGTAAGCATAATTCAACCAGTCACAATTCTCAGTGATAGTAAATCAGCAATCCAACTTGCAGCAAATCCTGTGCTTCACGAAAAATCCAAACACATAGAGATTGACTGTCATTTTATTCGAGACAAGATCAAGGAAGGAACAGTCAAGGCAGTGCATGATAATACAATGGAGCTGCAACATGCAGATCTGCTGACTAAAGCTTTAGGGAAAGCTCAACATGTTCATCTGCTTGGCTAGCTTGGAGTGTTCAACGTTTTGCACCCTCCAACTTGAGGGGGAATATTGTAAAGTCGCGAGCATCACATGTGACTTGTTAGTTAGGTTGTTAGTTAGGCAGCTTATGGTAGTTATGGCTTTTAATATAAGTTAGGGGTAGATTAGTCCTTTTACTTTTTTACTAATCATCTTCTTCTTAGCTTCTTTTATATAATGATACAGTAGTGCTCAATGTAACTGTGGCTTGAACATTTCTCAATTCACCGACTCTCTCTCTCTCACAATTGCTTCTAGAACTTTCCTCCATTAGAGCCCTTCGATAATCATTGTGTTTTAGCACCTGTTGCCATAGAGAAGCTGCTGCTTACTTGGTTGCCCTGAGTGGGAGAAACGCCACGCAACTCTCATTGTACTAGCTCAGATAACTGAAGGTAGCTCAAAGGTACAAATCTGATGTCTCATTTGTGTATTTATCATGATTATGTTGCAATGATTATGAGCTAGAAACTTTGGTATCCTACTTAGATAGAATACTCAACAAACTGCTTGTAATTCTACAGGTATACAAAAAATAGAGGCCACCATGTTATAAAGGCAGATTACTGCTAACAAGTCTACGAGATTCATGGTATTTTTTCCTACTTATTGTTGTTGTTTGAAATGCAGCTTCTCTCTCTCACAATTGCTTCTAGAAATTTCCTCCATTAGAGCCCTTCGATAATCATTGTGTTTTAGCACCTATTGCCATAGAGAAGCTGTCTGCTTACTTGGTTGCCCTGAGTGGGAGAAACGCCATGCAACTCTCATTATACTAGCTCAGATAACTGAAGGTAGCTCAAAGGTACAAATCTGATGTCTCATTTGTGTATTTATCATGATTATGTTGCAATGATTATGAGCTAGAAACTTTGGTATCCTACTTAGATAGAATACTCAACAAACTGCTTGTAATTCTACAGGTATACAAAAAATAGAGGCCACCATGTTATAAAGGCAGATTACTGCTAACTAGTCTACGAGATTCATGGTATTTTTTCCTACTTATTGTTGTTGTTTGAAATGCAGAATCACGACAATCAAATGGAGCTTAGTTCACCGGGCTTCCCTTTTATTGTAGTTCAACATTTGCATCAGATTTTCTTTTATCCTGATGTAGCCATAAAGTAATTGAAAGTTTGTTCTTTTATGTAAGGTTTTATGTGCCGGAGAGAATCTTGCTACAAATGAAACTACAAAATGCAGCATGCTCATTGTTATTGCCTCAGCAGGAGATGGAATTGGAATCCATTTTATCACCCGAGGAAGATGTTAACATTTCGACACACGCAATGTAATTACTAGTCTTGTGAACTTGTGGAAATCAAGTTATTTTGGTGCTCAATCCACTCCTCTGACTAAACATTGTTCATTGTGGAGTGAGATTTTATGTTGGGAGTCTTAGGTGTGGAGCAACATAAAACATGCAAGCTATGGCGGAGACATGTTACTATGTATAAAATGGGTACAACAACACTCTCTTGGTAGAATCTTGCTTCAATATGGAACTGAGAGAGCGAATAATTATGGCTTGTGAGAGTTTGTTGCTCAAATATAGCACTGGAAAGTTGCTTCTTGTGAAACTTTTTGTAACGAGTTGTAGCCCCGTTTTTCCCATTTTTTCTTATTTATGTGTTGTTCGGTTGTATCGAGTTGGTAGGTTTGGACTTGTGTATGGATTCAACATTTTTGTATAAGGAAGGTAATAAGAACAATTTCAAATTCACATAAGGTATTCTCAGAGTGAGTGTTACAGTTGTGGTATTTTTGAAGGTGCTTAAGAAGAATACAGTTGCTTATGCATCGTAGGGCGTTGTGGTTTTATGCTAGGTTTGTGGGGTGAGCTGTGGCTAAATATCGTGGCTTGCTTGATTTAGAGAGATTCAACTCTGATGGCCTGATTATTTGCAATTGGATTCCAAAGCATTCTCGAGGTTTTCTACCACGATTTGAGAAGGGTATTTTCCTACCGGCCTAAGGAGCATGTTGAGTATAGTGATTTTATACCGGATGGGATCAAATGGAAGGCTTCTGGATGATCATATATGTCTTTTACTTATGACTCATAATGATTATGAGGTTCTCATATTTTTCAAATGATGGCATGATAGATGCAGTGTATTGTGTGGGATTAAGGTTGGCGTGTGCAAGGTCATGGTTTAGCTTTGAAAGGGAGGTCATAAATTCTTAGAGGACATGAGCAGTTTTCGATGTTGAGATGAATGCTATAACTATTTGGTATTGTGTGAGTAGAGTGTACATTTCAGAAGGCGCACTATGTTTAGAATTATGGATATTTCATAGGTATTGCGGTATTTTCCTAGTTGATCGACTGCTGATTTAAGCAGTTGCTATGTGGCATTTTTATCAGTTGCCTCACCGTGGTTATTGATTTTTGAGCAGGATGGCTCGAGGTATATAATATGGACCAACATTTTGATGGGGTCACGCATTGTAGCGGAGTTATGTTAAGATATGAACCTTGTGTTAGAATCGCGTGATGGTTCTACGGTGTATGATGAATTTTCAGCGTTTCATTGTGGCGGTACTTGTTAATCTGGCATGGCAGTTCTCCCATTTGATTCATTTTCCATGACTGGGTATATTTGAATTATTCCTTGTTGGTGTACCGATTGCACGGGTTGTGGCTCTGAGTTACGTTAGTGCGGCATGTCTGTGGGATAGTTGTGTTGAATAATATAAGGTCACTGGACCTAGAATGGGTACCATCAGGCTTGATTATGGTAGATTCAAGAGGGTTATGGTTTTGGTTGGGGCGAGAGAGCTCCAAGGTTGGTTGATCTGATGAGTGGTTATGAGTTTTTGATTGTTTCTTTCATCATTAGCAGTGTACGAAGGTTGTGGAATGAGGTTCTGTTGACTGTAGGGTTTTATACTAGTACGTGGTTGGTTTGGAGTAGTTACTTTGATCATGAATGGTGCTACGAGCGGGCGAGTTGTGTAATATGCTGGGTGATTATATCCGTGATTATAGTTATAGCTCGATGCAGCTTGTTTAGACTCAGACATTGTGTAAATGTAAGATTCGTGTCTTGAAAAGAAATTCTGAAGGTTGAGAATTGAATTCCATGGTTTCTGGGCTAAGGCTAAACTAAGGATTTCCAATTGTATTGTGTTGTTAGTCCTATGTGGAATAGGGTGACATGGGATCACCCCCGGGTACGCGCGTGGTAAGATGGAATGGTGATTTGATAGCTTGGAACAACTCTTGGCATGTTCGAGGACGAACGTTTGTTTAAGAGGGGGAGGATGTAACGACCCGGTCAGTTGTTCCGAGAGTTGTAGTCCCGTTTTTCCCATTTCTGCTTATTTATGTGTTGTTCAGCTGTGTTGAGTTGTATCGAGTTGGTAGGTTTGGGTTCGGAGTAGTTTTGGAGTGAAATGAGAGACTTAGTCTCTTAGTTAGAAAGCTAAGTTTGAAAAGTCAACCGAAAGTTGACTTATGAGTAAACCAGTTCGGACTTGGATTTTTATAATTTGGTTAGCTTCGCTGAGTGATTTTAGACTTAGGAGTGTGTCCGGAATGTAATTTAGAGGTATGTGGTAGAATTAGGCTTGAATTGGCGAAAGTTAGAAATTTGGCGATTTTGGTCGGCAGTGGAAAAATTTGTTATCGGAGTCGGAATGGAATTCCGAGAGTTGGAGTAGGTTCATAATTTTATTTGTGACGTGTGGGAACATTTTGAGGTCATTCGGACGAGGTTTAATTGGTTTCGGCATCGGTTGTGAAAGTTTGAGGTTTCGAGTCCATTAAGCTTGAATTGTTGTGCGATTCATGTTTTTGTTATTGTTTGAGGTGATTCGATAGCTCGATTGAGTTGGTATGGTATTTTAGGACTTGATGCCATATTTGGTTGAGGTTCTGAAAGCCTCGGGTGTGTTTCGGGTGAGTTTTGAGCGAGTCTGGGCATTACCGGAACTGAGGCATGGTTTTGGTGCTTAATTTGTCGCGGACGGCGGCAAAATTTTGTTGATGGCGGAAAATATTCCGCTAAGGGCGGCAAAATTCCGCTGAGGGCGGCAGAATTTCGCTGAGGGCGGAGGAGGGGGTGCGGACCGCATAAATTTGGTCACGGAGGTGCTCCAGGGCAGATCTGCAGATTCGCTGGTCCGATTTCGGAAGCCTATATCTTTTGATCTACTAGGAATTTAGAGATGATTAAAAAACAAAAGTTATAGCCCTTCGTGTCTAATTTCCATAACGATAAAGAAATCATCATTTGGACATCTGTAAAGAAGGTTATGGCCAAAATACTAAAGCCTGTCACTACAACCACCAGAAGCGCGGACAACGCTACTTTTTCGCGGCCGCGCCTGGATTTTCGCAGTCAGCGTAGTGGAGAAGAGAGAGTGAACTATGTAAATGGGGTTTAGGATATTTTTTCACATTTTGGACCTAGGGAGATCCGGTTGTGGCGATTTTCGTGCGTCTTTCAAGATATTTATCGGGGTAAGTGATTCTAACTCGAATTTGGTTAATATACATGAATATATCAATGATTTCATCACCTGATTAGTACTTTGAAGTGGAAATTTGGGGAAGGTTGCTGAAACTTCATAAAATGAATTTTTGAGATTTGAACACCGATTCGGAGTTGGATTTGAGTGAAATTAGTATGGTTGAACTCGTAATTGGATGGGTTGTCGGATTTTGTGAGTTTCGTCAGATTTTGAGACGTGGGCCCCGCGGGTGATTGTTGGGGCGTAATTTTGAATTTTTGGAAAATATTAGTAATTTGATATGGAATTAATTCCTATAATTTTTGTGAGCTGAATCAAATTAATTGTAACTAGATTCGAGCCGTTTGGAAGTTGATACGCCATAATGGAATTTCTGCAGCATTGCTTAGCTTGCTCGACATTGGATTTGGCTTGTTCGAGGTAAGTAACTCTTCTAATCTTGGAGCTGAGGGTATGAACCCTGAATATATGTATTATGTGAATTGTTGGGAGGTGACGCACATGCTAGGTGACGGGGGTGTGGGCGTGCACTATAGAAATTGAGACATAATTATTTCTGTGGAATTTTATAGTTAAATAATCTTGACATTCTCCATGCGGTTTTATGTGTTAAAGAAATTGAGCTGAAAAACGTATTAAAAATTATGTTGAGGATGTGTGCCAATATTTTGGGACCCACAATTGTCATATTGTTGTGAATTATTTGATTAAATTGAAAATTCATATCTCAGTCTCTGTTGTTATTCATTGATGCATCAGATCATTATTTTTGGGCTATTCTCATGACATTGTGAGCCCATGAGAGAGAGACTGGAGAGATCGATGACTGAGTGAGGTCGAGGGCCTGATTATGAAGATATTTTGGGATCGGGTTGCACGCCGCAACAGGCCATTTTAGCTCTATATATATTATTATTATTATATGGATAGGGGTTGCCTACCTGCAGCAGGTCTTATTGGCTTATTATGGCACATGAGTTGTTCATGCGGATTCTGATATGATATTATAGCACGTGAGTTGTCCATGCAACATGTGAGTTGTCCGTGCGGATTATAGTTGTGATGACCCAAAATGTCATCTTTAAATTTAATAATTAATTTTGTATTCTAAGACCTCGAAAAGCACTATTTATCAATCCTCGACTTACGTGCGCAGTCCGTAAAATTTTCCGGAAAGTTTTCAGGTGAAAAATGAATTAAAATGTGAATTATAGCTATAAAATTCAATTGAGTTGACTTTGGTCAACATTTTGAGCAAACGGACTCGGATCAGTATTTTGATAGTTTTGGTAGGTCCGTATCGTGATTTGGGACTTAGGCGTATGCCCGGAATCAAATTCCGAGGTCCCTAGCCCGAGATATGGAATTTTGATGAAAACTTAAAGGTTTAAGTTTAAATAGTGACCGGATGTCAAATTATGTGCAAACGATCCCGGAATAGAATTTTAATGATTTTAACAGCTCCGTATGGTGATTTTGGACTTAGGAGCATGATCGAAATTTTATTTGGAAGTTCGTAGTGGAATTAGGCTTGAAATGCCAAAAGTTAAATTTTTGGGAAGTTTGACCGGGGGTTGACTTTTTGATATCGAGGTCGGAATCCGATTCTGGAAATTGGAATAGGTCTGTTATGTCATTTATGACTTGTGTGCAAAATTTGAAGTCATTCCGAATTGATTTGATGTGTTTCAGCACAAGATATAGAATTTGAAAGTTCAAAGTTCATAGATTTTGATTTGAGGTGCGATTCGTCGTTTTCATGTTGTTTGATGTAGTTTGAAGCCTCGACTAAGTTTGTATTGTATTTTGGGACATGTTGGTATAATTGGTTAAGGTCCCGAGGGTCTCGGGTGGATTTCGGAAGGTAAACGGAATGGATTTCGGACAAAGAAGGCTGCTGGAATTTCTGGTGCGTAGTGCCAAATTTGGAAGCTTATATCGTATAATCTATAAGGAATCAGAAGATTATCAAAACATAAGAGTTGTAGAACTTTAATTCTAGTTTCCAGAAAGTTAAACCATTCATCATTTGGACATTCGTACAGAAAGTTATGATGGATTGAATGAAGGCTGGTAGAGCAATTTTGCCAGAAATTTCTGATGTATGGAGCTGACTTTGGAAGCTTATATCTAGAAATTCATAAGGAATCAAAAAATTTTCAAAAGATGAAAG